TCGGCGGGCGCGACGCACCTCAAGCTGATGTTCTTCATGCGGACGCAAGCTGTGACGCAACCCCTGCCGAACCACGCCCCGATCTTCACGCTGACACCACGCAGATCCACTTTCCACAACGCTTTGAGCTGGCGCGGCCCAAGTCGTCCATCTGGCGAAGTCGTCCACCTGGCGGCAGGGCCACGTGATGATCCAGACTCTGCCGATGTACGCGTTGTCCCAGTGAGTGGAGATGCCCGCGCCCCCTTCCCAGCTGACGATGCACGTCTGAGTGAAGAAGTACCCTTGGCAGCAGTCGCTCATGGCGAGTTTTGTTGCTGAAGCTGTCCACGATGATTCCCAGGCCGACGGACGACATGATTTTCTCACTCCCGCCCACCTGGTAGGAATTCATGCGGCAGTTAAGATGAGAAGTCAAGCAAGTAGAAAAAGAGTTGCATTTGGCACCATGATTTGGATTCGGAGCGACCGAGGAAAAAGAGGAGAATGCGTTTTGCATTATATCGCTTCCTTTTGTTAGGAACAATTGTAATGCAATCGCCCGCAGAATAACAAAAATCTAAATCTGAGCGCATGGCGCACGCCGTTCTGGCGCTGTCCGTCGCGACCTTCATCGCTGCTACGACCACGCCAACAGCTCCAGAGAAAAACGGGGATTCGGCCCCCGCCCGCGGGCACAGCGGCTCCCCATGCTATCGACGGCGATGCGAACGTGGACGCCGGGAGCGACGGCAGCTTCAGCGACCCCACACTCATCTTCAGCGGGATGCCACGACACCTCCAGTGACAATATCGACACTCTCGAGGCACCTCGCAACGACGGCGCGGATAACGCCTGGGGCGGGTCCGTGCCGCCGTTCGTGTTGCGAGGTCCGACTGCATGTGAATTCATACAGCCACCGTGGCCACCTCCCTTCGGGTTGTGTCGCCCAGGTGTTCTGCCCGGGCAAAAAAAAAACAATATCGACATTTCCAGCGTCGACATCTTCAGCGACGGCACCGACATCACGGTCGGCGACTGCAGGTATTGCGACAGCCTCCGCGACGGGTGCTGCGCGTGACGGTCTCCCTGCAGGAGCGGGATGCGACGAAAATTCCTTTCTGCCGATGCTCGTGCTGACCGCATGGGTGAAGCTGCTCGAGCCACTCTCCCAGCTGACGCTGCCCGTTTTGGTGGCGCCCTCCAGGCTGCAGCTGCTGGGGAGACGCGCTGTGCTGGAGCTGTCCGCGGCGATCTCCTACCCGATGCGAGACATGACATTATGCTTCCTGGAGCTGCGCATGACGATATCCAAGCGCACGCCGGCCGCCACGACCCCCATGCCAATGCTACGCGCGACGCGCGACGAACCCCCACCCGGCGCAGCACGTGATGGTGGTCAAGCTCCTACTCTTCGGCTTCGTGATATTATTCGGTTCCGCGGGCGGTGCATTGCCCGCGCGGCTCGGTTGGAATACATTACTCATGTTGGCAAGGCATGTCACGATGACGATGACGCTGCACAATTTCAACGGGATGCGCGGCAGACGGCACTGGACGAAATTCGGGCCACTAACCAGGATTCCGTCCCCGACAATCACGACCTCGGCTCCAGCACCGTTGAGTCCGCCTTCGACGGTGGTTCCCAGTTCGGCGCCAACGGCACTCTGCAGGCCCACGCCGATTGGTTCGGCCCGCCGCAGGACGTGCCCCACCGCTTGCTGAGAGGCGCCCCCCCCCACCCCCCGCGCCGCATAGGCGCCCGTCAGGCATGCAGGGATCCGCTCTTGGGTCGCACGTTTCTCCTCCTCCTCCTCCTCCTCCTCCTCCTCCTCCTCCTCCTCCTCCTCCTAGTCCTCCTCCTTCTCTTCCTCCTCCTCCTCCTCCTCAGCCTCCTCCTCCTCCTCATCCTCATCCTCCTCCTCCTCCTCATCCTCCTCCTCCTCCTCCTCCTGGTCCTCCTCCTCCTCCTCTTCCTCCTCCTCGTCCTTCTTGCCCATCAAGACTTACAGTCCCCCACCAAGGATCTAGGGAAAGGCTCCTGGCCATGGGTAAGAACACCGCTGACAGATACGGTGAGGCCGCTGCCGCAAGAGCTGGAGGACCTTCGCCCGCGGAGGCCCAGACGTACGACCGGAGCCGCGGTGTTGTGGCCCGTTGTTTGAGGCTTCTTGCGAAGGGCCTGCCGACGCGGCCCGCGATCGCCCCGAAACTTGGCAGCAAGGCCCGCGAACGGACAGGTTTCAAGCCCGTGGGCAAGCCCCTGGTGGGCGCCGCCGTCCTCGTCCTTCTCCTGCCTCCGTCCTCCGACCCCCTTCTGGGATCCCTGGGCCCGTGGCTGGCGACCAAGCCGAGGGCGTCAACGGAGAAGGCGGCGCCCACCAGTGGGCCCAAGTTTCTGAGAGCTTTTAGACGTGCGAGCTCTGCAGAATCGGAGCGCGCTCCGAGGCCGCCCGCACGCGAAGAGATGCCCAGAAGTGTCATGGGCACTGTGCAGGCCTGGCCTCGCTTCCCGAGCAGCGAAACGGCCATGATATCTAAGTGTTTCGATCGCGTCGATAATGAAAGCTGTGTTCTGGCATGCTGGTCTTGTGGCGCTTACAGCGAGTTTTACCCCAAGGCTTTCAAGAGCGAGTGCCTTGGGTGCCCCACTAGCAATAATAAGACGAATGCCCTGAACTGCTGTAAGACCTGCCGCCACCCCAAGGGAGGCATGAAGAGCAGGCCCTGTCTTGTATCCACCCATCTCCCTCGATTCCGTGACCAGGGAAGCGCAAGCTGCGCTTGGGGCGATACAGTAATCCCAACCAACCGAACTCAGTCAGATGCGCCGGTTCTCCTCCTCCTCCTCGTCCTCCTCCTCCTTTTCCTCCTCCTCCTCCTCCTCCTCCTCCTCCTCCTCCTCTTCCTCATCCTCCTCATCATCATCATCATCCTTTTCCTCCTCCTCCTCCTCCTCCTCCTCCTCCTCCTCCTCCGCCTCCTCCTCGCCCTCCTCCGCCTCCTCCTCCTCCTCCTCCTCCTCCTCCTCCTCCTCCTCCTCCTCCTCCTCCTCCTCCTCCTCCTCCTCCGCGGGGTCCACACGCGGGGGTTTGCTTGGAGGGCACACCTGGGGCAGTTTTGGGCGCCACCTCATGAGAACCGTATTTGGGGGGATTGTCAGATGTGCGCCTGGCCCAGATGTCCCCAGCTGTTCGCGCCATGCTGGAGCCCTTCAGGTCGTGAGGGGTAGCTACTCTGGCGGCCATCGGGGCCTCCCCGGAAATCCTGGGGACACTTCGGGCCAGGGCACCCCTGGCAACACCCGACGCTTGGAGGCCACATTTGGGAGCCACGCATAGCGACTCAAAGGCCGCGCGCGCCGCGCTACGTCCCAGCAGTCCTGTCGGGCCCAGCCCCGGCCCCCACCCTTCGGTCTTATTCCGTGTGCTCTGGGCATCTTGTCTTCCTTCCCGTGCCAGGCGCGCACCCCAGGCAACAGAGACGAAGGATGGGACAGGGGGAGCAAGAGGAGAAACAGAAAATTGGAAAAGAGAAGGTGGAAGGGGGAACGAGAGGGTGGCCAGCGGCAGATCCATTTGGAAATGGTCCGCCGTGGATACATACAGGGCTACGTACGTTGAAAGATTGGGCCGTTCGACTGACTGAAGTCTTAGGCGAGAAATGAATCCTTCGACTTGTTGAGATCACAAATGGTTGCGCGCGGCGTTAAGGGGAGAGCCTACTTCTGAAAACGACCAGTGGCAACCCTTGAAACTGTTTTAAGATGTGAAGCGACTGCTTGCGGCGCTGAGGTGGGAGCCCCACAGGAACCGCCCTCCGTCCGCGAAGTGAGTGCAAGCGTTTACGACGAATGCGCGCGGCGTCGAGGCGAGAGCACCAGCATGGAAAACGACCCCCGTTTCCATCCCCGAATCGGCTGCACGTGCTTAAAACGAAAGTGCGCGGTGAAAAGGCGAGGGCCACATTTTGAAAACGAGCCCTACATGTGCGAAAACGATGCAAACGTGTAAGACGAATGTGCGCGGCGTTCACGCGAGAGTCCCCCAAAACAGAATTAAATCAAAACAACAAGAAAATGCCCACCCACCCACCCACCCACCCGCGACGCCTTCGGAAATGTTTAAGACGAGCCCGCGCGGCGTTAAGGCGAGAGCCACCTTTTAAAAACAGTCCGCCTTCCTTCCGCGAAACCGCTGTAAACAGCTAAGACGAATGTGCGCGGGCGAAGACAAAATCTACATTGAGAAAACGACCCCCTAACCGTCCGCTACATTGCTGCTAACGCTTACGACACGAATGCGCGCGGCGCTACAGCGAGAGCCACCTGTTCAAAATGGTTTGCTGCTTCGCTCGAAAAAAAAGCTGCGCTCGTTTAAAAACGGTTAGAACGAGAAACACAGCTTAGAAACGATGTGCGTTTCATCCGTCACCGCTGTAAGTTCCTGAAGAGTAAGATGCGCGGCGCGAAGGCGAGAGCAACCTAGAGAATGATGGGGAAGTCTGAAGCCGAACTCCCAGCCCTGCCTACAGACATGGTTTGGGGGCGACAGCGAGGAGTCACTCATGAGCGAAAGGCGTGAAGGAGGAGGAAAAGGAGGAGGATAAGCAGGACGAGGATTTGGAGGAAAAGGAAGGGCAGGAACGGAAGAAAAGGACGAAGAGGACGGAGCAGGAGGAAAACAGGGAGCAGGAGGGAGGACGGAGGAGGGAGGGGCAGAAGGACGATGGGGAGGAGGATCTGGTGGGTCCGACCAAGGAAGAATGTTAGCGGAACGAGAGGCGAGGAGGAAGAGAAACAGCAGGAGCAGGAGCGCGAGGAGTATAGTGACGCAGAACGTCTTCCGACGTTTCTGTAGCTCCCCCGAGGCTTTCGCGGGCATCCAAATGCCCCAAGAGCATACAAACAAACAGCAAAGACGGATTGGTTCTCGGACCTCCAACCTGGAGGCTCGCGGATCGGGGATCGAGGAGGGCGGCAAGCAGGGGGAGAACGGCGGAGCCTGGCAGCCGCGGGCACAGGACGGCGAGAACATGCGCTCGGTCCTGCCCCGCATCCTGAAGGAGGACCTTTCGCGTCCCCTCCTCCGTTCTTCTTCCCCCCCTCTCCCTCCCTCGTTCTCCTCACGATCCTGTTCCTCCCATCACCCCAGCCCAATCAAACACGAGCACAGAGGAGAACATGAATGCATGAAGGAAAGAAGGAGGAGAAATAGGAGTATCGGGTCAGACCGGACTTCGGATATCGGAGATGGCTTGTTCGCTAGAAAGGCCACGGCCAGCCTGCCGAAAGGAGAAGCGACTATGTTGTTGGAAAGCGGGCGCCATATGAGGAGGACAAGGAGGAGGATAAGACGGGAAAGGGGATGACAGGGAGGAGGGGAAGACCGCCCCCTCCTCCTCCTCCACCTCCTCTTCCTCCTCCTCTTCCCCCTCCTCCTCCTCGTTTTCCTCCTCCTCCTCCACCTCCTCCTCTTCCTCCTCCTCCGCTTCCTCCTCCTCCTCCTCCTCCTCCTCCTCCTCCTCCTCTCCTCCTCCTCCTCCTGCTCCTCCTCCTCTTGCTCCTCCTCCTCCTGTTCCTCCTCCTCCTCCTCTTCCTCCTACTCCTCTTTCTAGTCCTCCTCCTCCTCCTCCTCCTGTTCCTCCTCCTCCTCCTGTTCCTCCTCCTGCTCTTCCTCCTCCTCCTTCCTCCTCCTCCTCGTCCTCCTCCTCCTCCGCCTCCTCCTCCTCCTCTTGTTCCTCCTCTCCTCCTCCTCCTCCTCCTCCTCCTCCTCCTCCTCCTCCTCCCCATCATCATCATCATCATCAGCATCATCATCAGCAGCATCATCATCAGCATCATCATCATCAGTAGCATCATCATCAGTATCCTCTTCCTCCTCCTCCTCCTCCTGTTCCTGTTCCTCCTCATCCTTCTCCCCCGCCTCCCCCTCCGCCTCCTTCTCCTCCTCCTCCTCTCCTCCTTCTCCTCCTCCTCCTCCTCCTCCTCTTCCTTCTCCTCCTCCTCCTCCTCATCCTCTTCCTGTTTCCTTTCCTCCTCCTCCTCCTCCTCCTCCTCCTCCTCTTCATCCTCTTTTTTCTCGTTATCCTCCTCCTTCTCCTCCTTCTCCTCCCCCTTCTCATCATCATCAGCATCATCAGCATCATCGTCAGCATTATCTTCATCCTCCTCCTCTTGCTCCTCCTCCCAGTCGTCCTCCTCCTCCTCCTCCTCCTCTTCGTCCTCCTCCTCTTCCTGTTCCTCCTCCTCCTCCTCGTCATCATCAGCATCGTCATCATCATCATCATCATCATCATCATCATCAGCAGCAGCAGCAGCAGCAGCAGCAGCAGCATCATCATCCCCCTCATCCTCCTCCTCCTCGTGCTCCTCCTTCGTTTCCTCCTCCTCCTCCTCCTCGTCTTCCTCCTCCTCCTCCTCATCCTCCTCTTCCTCCTTATCTTCCTCTTCCTCCTCCTCCTCCTCCTCCTCCTCCTCCTCTTCCTCCTCTTCCTCCTTTTTCTCCTCCTCGTCCTCCTCCTCCTCCCCCGCCTCCTCCTCCCCCGCCTCCCCCTCCGCCTCCGCCTCCGCCTCCTCCTCCTCTTCCTCCTCCTCCTCCTTCTCCTCCTCCTCCTCCTCCTGTTTCCCTTCCTTCTCCTCCTCTTGCTCCTCCTCCTCTTGCTCCCTTCTTCTCCTCCTCCTCCTTTTTCTCTTTCTCCTCCTCTTCCTTTTCTCCCTTCCTCCTCCTCCTCCTTCTACTCCTCCTCCTCCTCGGCCTCCTCCTCCTCCTCCTCCTCCTCCTCCTCCTCCTCCTCTTCCTCCTCCTCCTCCTCCTCCTCCTCCTCCTCCTCCTCCTCCTCCTCTTGCTCCTCCTCCTCCTCCTGCTCCTCCTTTTCCTTCTCCTCCTCCTCCTCCGCCTCCTCCTCCTTTTCCTCCTCCTCCTCCTCCTCAGATATGGGGCCCAAGCAATTCTGGCACGAGCGGGATCACAGGGCCGCGGTTTGCCCATTTGATTGCTGCACGTACCCACTCGGCCAGCCCCCGCGCCCCGTCGTTGTGCTTAGGCTCTGCCCCGCTTCCCACGCTCGTTCGCAGTCGGTCGAGGCACGGGGGATGTCGGCTATCGCTGCAGGACGCCGCCTGTGGAGCACGTGCCACGGATGCCACGCGCACCAGTGAAACGACCAGATCTTGCAGGAGGGAGGAGCTTGCAGGAAATGCGGGCGGCCAATCACGATACACAAACCGAAGGGCAAGGCACGTGATGGAGATCATGAGGAGGTCAAGCTTTTCGAGCCTGGGCAGAAGAACGGCAACAAGGGGAGCAAGTCTGGGGAGAAGCAAGGTGGTCAGCAGCCATGCGCGCCCGACCTGCTCAACCAGACCATCGCGGCCACCAGCGACCCGATGGTCAAGCGCGGCCTGCTCACCCAGCAGGCGGTGCTCGTCGCCCAGGCCCCACCCCACGCGGGCAAGGCCACGGCCGACGAGTCGGTGCGCAAGGCCCCGAGCGCCTGGAAGGATGCCGAGGCGAAGCACCCCCGGGCGGCGCAGCGAGTGACGCGCTGCAGAGAGGCTTTGGCGAAGGCTGAGGCGCGCGAGTTTGAGTGCGCCAGGATCTTAGCCCAGACCGACATCAACAAGCATATTGCCATCGAAATTATGGCCAATGCTTCTGGATGCTGGCCCAGGAGAAGAGCGAGGCTGCGAGCGTGGGTGGCGGCAACGTGCAGAGGGAGCTCTTCTGCGGTGTTGTCGGCGAGTCTGTTTTCAATCCATCTACGCCCTGGAGCGTGAGAGGCCGCGCGCCAGTTGAGGGGCGCGAAGAACGCCATGGCCACGAGGTCCACCGAGGTCAAGGCCCGGGCCGAGCGGGCCAAGGCGATGAAGGCCACCGCCCAAGAGCGGCTCCAGAACAAGAGGAGGACGGGCAACGACGGCCAGAAGGTCAGTGGCGGAGGAGGCGGCGAGGCGTCGCAGGCATCGCCACGCACGGCGCCACGCGCCCCCTCGCGAGGCGCCAGCAGCAGAAACAGCGGCGGCGCAGCCGGGGCTCCCAGTGACCCGTCCGAGGAGGTGGTCGCGGTCAAGGCAGCGGAGCCCAGCGCCGCAAAGTCCGCGGGCATCGAAGCGGCGAAGAATGATGCAGGAGGCAGCTGGCACTGAGGCACCACCTGCTGGCGGCAGCGGGCAGCGAAGCTAGGTGGCGGCGCGCGCTGGCCCAGCGGCAGGCGCGGCCGCCGCGGCGCAGCCGTCGGACCGCACTGGCGGCAGCGGCTCTACCTCCTCCTCCTCGGCACCCGCAGCAAGACAGTGTTCGCCGACTACTGGTCAGTCCACTGATGTTCTTGATGGTGGCCCAATGTCCGCCAGCTCTCTCAACGAGGTGGACAGCGATAGCGAGTGCAGCACGCCCTTCTTTTCCCGTTGCATTTGCCCCAGGAAGAAGCCTCGGGGGCGCATCCGGCCCACGGGGTTCAGCGCGAATCAGCCACCAAATTCCATCGAATTGTTCGGCTAGTTGAGACGCGCATCGGAGATGCATCGAAAAGGGAGTGGGCGGCCACAAATCGCGCGCAGAATCTCAAACACGCTTTCACTGTAGCTCGGAGTACATTGCAAGGAGCCGCAGATACCATGTAAGAACGAACCAATGATGGAGGCGAAGCGGTTCTCTTTCCGCAACATCATCGGAAGCGTCGGTCCCCAGCGGCTGCCGCGGGCGTTCCTGACTTGCGCGCGGACGGCCATGACAGTCACGACGGGCTCTCGCCTGCGATCACCCGTCTTCAAGCTCACCCGTCGGCCCTCGCGCGGGCGCGCGACCATTGGCGCGACGGGCGGCAACCTCCGACGCGCTCATCGTTCAGGACGGCTTCCACGAGCTTTCGGCGCCCTTGGATCTGCATCGGGGACTTCAACTTCGCCCCAGAGGTCTTACAGACCACGGGGCTCATCGGGCGAGCGCACGGTCCGATTCGGCAGCCAGACCTGCGCCACGACCAAGGGGCCATCTCACGTCGATCGCATCATCGCTGGCACAGGCGCCGAAAGTTCCATCACAGATGCGCGCGCCGGTCACAGTGCACCTCGGCGCCCGCGCTGCGGGCCGAGGCCGAGGCCACGGCGAGCTGCCCACCACTGGTCGCGGGCAAGCTTCCGCGGGCGAGCCGCCCAGACGCGACGCCCACGCCAGGGCCGAAGTCCATCATGTCGAGCTATTACCGCGCAGTCAGGCCAGCAACTGCCGCGGCAAGATAGCCGATGAATCCCGAGCTTGGTCCAGCGATCTGTTCCTGGATCCCGGCGAAAGCGATGATTCGAGTCTTCCGGGGCCCCGGGTCCTTCGCCACAGAGGTCGGCGACAAGAAAGAGAGCCCATGGGCCGGCGAATCCGGTTCAAGGGCAAAAAAACCAGCGGATGCATGCGTTTCGTAGGTCGCGGAAATCCCCCGGGGCGCCAGTCGCAGCAGCTCTTCGAACGCACCGCCCGCTTCGATAGCAGAGTCAGCGCCCGCGCCCAACGCGGGGCGACCCAGACTGAGCGACGCGCCCGTTTCAGAGGCCCTCGGCAACAGCAGCTCCCCCGATGTTAATTATTGCTGCAGTCCCGGGTGTGCTTCTGAAAATAGGGCGCTTCGCGCCACCGAGTCTCGCCTCGGCAATCCCACGTTCCTCATTCCATCGGGCCGTTGGGCGTTGGCTCGAAACGGCTCTGGGCCCAGTTTCACATCTTCACTGAGCAATGCTGCGCATTTGCAGTAGTCTGCCATTCGTGAGTAGCTGGCAGCGCGAGTTGCAGGGTTTCATGTTCGACGCTTTTCTTCCCCGCGCGCCTGCTGGGCCAAAACGGCGGGGGCGACTATTGCCGGGCGTCGCGGGCAGGAGATCAGACTTGTTTCGCGCGCGGCAGATCCGCAACTGCGACAGCAGGCATGACAGCAAGCAGCCACTTAAAAAATATGCACCGCTGCAGGGTCAGGTCGCGAATTGGCGGGCAAGAGTTGCCCAAGGATTGGTCGGAGTTCCACGGCGCCGGGAGCGAGGCAATGGCGCGGAACAGTTGGTAGACCTGCATGAGTTGGGCGTTCGCTCGGGTTTTGATCGCCCCGTGGGAGCTCGCGCAGTATTGCCGCCAAGTGGTCGCTGCGATTGTGGACACAGGATATCCGTGTTACGTAGCAGGTTTGAACATCCAGGACGGAGCTCTGAGGGGTCTCTCAATTTGGCCCACTGGGCGCCCAAGCGGGCAGCAGGCAAACCCATTCGGCATTTTCTTTCTGCGGCCACAGAATGGGCACCCTGTCCTGCAGCGCTAGGGGCGCTCAACAAAATCAGCATGGATCGCCCCGAGGTCCAAGAGCAGGAGGTCGTGGAAGGCGAGTGCATCTTTCACCCGAGGGATGCGATGGACGCCAAGGCAACCAAGCGGCATGATATTTGGTATGGACCAGAGTTTAGTATCGATGAATTATGCTCCTCCTTCGCCGACATGAGGGAGTGGGCGCGCGGCCGACATCGACGGCGACGAGGTTCGGGAGGCGGTTTCTCGGATGAAAGCCAAGGCTGGCCCTGGCGCGGATCAGCTGACACCGCCTAACATGTAACGTTTGTCGTTAGAGGGCCATGCTGCCCTTGCCAACATTGTCAAAATAATGGAAGCATGCGGTACATGGCCAACTCAACTGTTGTGCGTTAGCTCGCCTTTAGCACCCAAGAAAGCAGGCGGGGGCAGAATCGCTGCTTCCCCCCCCCCATTGCACGTCGCTTCTACGCCTTCATCTGCGAGCCCTACTCCAAGCACTGGCCCACGGTCGCGGCAACGGAGTGGGACGCGGCGGCGGCGGGGAACTCAGCATTTGAAGAGGCATGTACGAAGGCAGCCGATCAGTTAATATTCGCCCCGCATGGGGGTGGCACATGTGGCACATGGATGCGCGCTGCTAGACCTCAAGACATTCTATGACATGCTACAGCAGAGCAAGGTACTCGACGCGGCCATTCGGAGTGGCCCCCTTGGAATTGCGATGCCGCTGGAAATTCATCCGCGCATGGCGCCGGGGGCGCCAGCGTAGATTGGGGCGCGCGCCGCGCCTTGCCAACCGACCAGACGCACCGCTCAAGGATTGGGGAACGGAGCGAGGCATGGGAGACGCCTCGCCCAGTTGACCCTCGGCCGGCGCTGCACGGCACAGGCGACCATGTCTCAAGGAATCTAGGCCGACTTTGCATGCGGGGCGCGCACGGTCAAGGGCCGCGACGCGGAAGGCGTTTATGAAGGAAAGATTTTGACGCGCGGCCAGGTTCAAGAAGCCAGTCTCAAGCTGGCCCCCCAAAGCTCCACGCCGCGCGCCGCCATGGCCAGAGCCAGACATGTCACGCGTGATTGGAGAAGAAACGGCGCTGATACTCAGGCAGCGCTGCAAGTGCGCCACTTCGGCGTCGACTTGGGCGCAGGCAGGAGCGCCGCTCGAGCTTCACAGAGGGAACGCGCGAGGAAGTCGACAGCTGGCAGCAGGAAATTGCGTCGACATGCAATTGCACCCAAGAGCTACGCAGCGACCAAGAAGACCGAGTTCACAGGGCTGCAAGCTGCTGCTACGCACGACCATGACATCCATGCAGTTGTCGGGCGGCAGCTATACAAGTTGGAGCGACAGATTGGATCCGCAGCGGGAGCGCATCAGCGCGGGCGATGCCTCAAGACGTTTGTCGACTCACGTGTTCATCAGCAAGATCCAGGAGTACGATTGCCGCAGCTTTGTTTGCACCTGTGGCTTCGGACCTGGGTCGACTATCCCAGCGCGCGCAGGTACCCGCAGAGTTCGGAATGGCATGGTCGAACAGACCAGAGGCTTGCAGGTGCAAGGAAGACCTCGGCATGTGCATGGGCCAATTTCGGCGGTGATTACCAACCTTGTGAACGCAAGGTAAGGTGGGGCCCTCAGTCGCCGTCGCAATGGTGTCGCTCAGATGCGTTTATGCCTGAAGTTGTCGATTGGGTTTTCACAACTAAAGATATCGTTCAGAAGTTCGCTGGCACATATGATTGCTTGTCCGTTTTTGCACAGAGTCTTGACCATCAGCAAGAGGCTGAGCCAGCGAAGCTGCACTGCGGCGGCGGTCTTGAGTTCGGCACTGTGAGTGAGTCTTACAGAGACTTGATTGATCGATTACGCTAAGGTTTTCATGGTCATTTGCCAGCTGAACTTAGCTCGACGATGGGCACCAGGGGGTCGGACGAGAGCGAGAATGCATGCCTTCGGTCTGTGCTGTTTGTTCTAACATGTGCTTCAGGCGTAAGCAGGCCCCTGAGGACACGCATCATCGTGCGTGAGTCTGCGGCTCTAACAGGGCGGCGGAAGCCTTCACGGACTCCGACTCATTAGTGCCCGCAGCGCTGGCACAAGGTAATAGCGACAGCTGTCTTTGGCATTGACGTAGCAGCCTACGCCAGATGACCGCTTCGCCGACAGCACCGACGACCGAGGAGTGAATGGAGCTGATATGGCCGAGCCGACTGTCGAGGCAGGGTGTTTCGGAATGGGCACGCTCGACAAGTCATTCTTGGCGTTCGGCGACGCGCCTGCTGGAGCGGACAGTAGGCGCGAGTCGCTGAGGAGAGTCGGCTCCGGCATCCTCGTCATGACAGATCCGGTCGCCATGACCATCGGGCCCGCGATCGCTGGACCTCGCGCTCGCGTAGGCAAAGTCCAGACAGCGCCGCGCGGCGAGCTGCGGCGCCTGGAGCTCGCAATCTGTTGTTCAGTTGGTCCGACAGTGTATCTCGCAGATAATGAAAGCGCACGTCGCGCGTGGCATTCGCGTCACGGGCGTGGTGAGTTGAATTGTCGTTGGTCTGAGATTGGACCTTTGCTGCACCAGGGACCCTAGCGAGATAGTCGCGATGCAGGTGCCTTCGCACCTTACTGCCAAAGACGCTTGTTAGAAAAATATTCCCCCGTGGCGTCTTCACGGGAGTGAAGTGTCTGACGCCCTCGCCGATGGCGCCACTGAGCGTTGCTAGAGCTCGGATCGCAGAGGCGGAGAGGCGGGCTGCTCTGATTAAACGGTGGCTGTGCAGAGTTACCCTGGAGGCCACGGACGCCGAGCGCGAGGAAGCCAAGATCACCGCGCTTCCTGGCGGCGATCGTGCCTCGAAGGGTCCTGCTCCGGCCCCCGCCCCCACACTCTGCCGCAGCTAGACTTAACTCTGCTCACACGCCCAGTGAATGTGGGTTGACATGTACGATGTGTCGTAGCAGCGGCACCAGATATACCCTCCCAGGATGAATTAGTTTTCCCCGCGCTCCCTCAGAGACGGTTGATTATGTAATCTCCTTGGGGGCGTTAAGGCGAAAGTTGTGTCTAGCTGGGGGGGTCACGAATCTCATGAGTTGTTTTTTCACTGGTCACTCGGGGTCTGGATTTGCGGGGCTTGCAGGTTTCCTTCACGGCTAACTTGAAGTCGGGCGTGTCCCTCTACAAGAGGACTATTCGAAAATAGTCTGGGGACGATTTTTGATTTTTTCTTCGTTTTGACATTGTTTGAGGTATGTCTTTTGTTTTCGCCCAAAATCCGCCTGCAGGGGGACACGCCCGACCTAAGGCTAACGTACAAGCAGGGCTCAGGCCAAAGCGTCTCGGTTCCCAGCCCCTCAAGGGCACCAGGAGGTCCTACTTCAATCGCCTCCATCGAGGGTTGGTCCCCAGGTCTCTGAGTGCAGCTGCACGGGCCTCACTGGGGGGAGCCGAAGGGGTAGTGCTCTCTTTCATTGACATCGTCATGCTGCTTTTTGCTATTCCTATTCCTCCTCCTGCCCCGGATGCGACGGCAACAAGAGCGACCAGGGCGGCGACGACGATGGCGACGACGACCTGCTCTCCGCCACCCACCCCCAGGACCCCCCCGAGCCTAAGAGTTCGGTGGCGGACTCCTCGCCAGCCAGCCGCTCCGCCAGCAGGCGGCTGCTGCCACCGCCCGTCACCGACCCTGAGGAGGAGGAGGAGGCGGAGGAGAAGGAGGACGACAAGGAGGAGGAGGACGAGAGGGAGGAGGAGGAGGAGAGGGATGAGGACGAGGAGAGGGAGGAGGAGGAGGAGGAGGAGGAGGAGGAGGAGGAGGAAGAAGAGCAGGAGGAGAAGGAGGAGGAGGCGGAGGAGGAGGAGGAGGGTGAGGAGGAGGAGGAGCAGGAGGAGGAGGAGGGTGAGGAGGAGGAGGAGAAGGAGGAGGTTGAAGAGAGTAGGAGGAGGAGGAGGAGGAGGAGGTGGAGGAGCCCTCCGCCTCGTCACCGGCCCCTCGCCGTCGTCCCCCCCCGCTCGTCCTCCTGGTGCTAATCTTCCTTCGTCCTTGAGGTCTGGCCGATGCAAGTGATCGTTTTCTACCCATTGTTTTCGATCGGCGCGTGCCCTCGAACCCCCTCTCCCCCCCGTGGAGTAGATCTTGACTGTTCGTGGCGCCTGTTTCAGGCAGGTGAAGCCTCCTCTATAGGACACACTGCTGCAAACAGTCGCATTAAGCAGAGGTCCAAAGCTAGACCCCCCTTCCGCCCAATGTCGAAGCGACGAATAAGAAAACGTTCACCAATTGTTTCACACCCGACGTTGTCGCCAGGTCCCGGGCACCAGGACCATCACAGATCGATCCGGCCCGAAAAATGTGGCAAAGAGATCAGGTTTGGGCTCCTGTCGTGATTGTTGTTTTGTTTTCTTCGTATCACGGGCGGGTCATTCTCAAACTGCAGTCATCGCTGTAACGCCGTGCACATGTGTTATAACAGTTTTCAGCATCTAAAGTTATATATATATATATATGTGTATGTGTATATGGATATCGCCTTCTATCGCCGCGCACATTCGGCTCAAAAGTTCGCCATATGTTCAAGGATTCGTACGGTTGAAGCCCCAGGATCGGTGCTCTGGCACGGGTTACGGGTGTCCGGACGCAGTCGCATGGATTCGCGGCGTTGACGTCCCAGGAATGTCTTCTGGCCCCATTTCAAGATGCACAGTCACGTGGATTCGCGGAGCCGCTTTCCCAGGAATGATTTTCGCGCACGGTTGAGGACTCTCAGACGGTCGCCTTCCAAAATGGCAGTTCCCGCAGTGGAGATGTTTTTTTTTCTGTATGGGTGTATGAAGAGGAAATTTGGAGGGAGTGTGCATTGCGACATCGTGGACGCGCATTGGTTTTACATCCGTCCTCCTCCTCCTTCTCCTCCTCCTCCTCCTCCCCCTCCTCCTCCTGTTTTTTTTATACGTTAGGTTAATGTGAGGAACTAGCCTGTCGCGTTCAAACCCTCATCCTCCTCCCCCTCCTCCGAAATGAAAGCAGCAGGGTGACTTCGTCCTGGCTACTGTTTAAAGCAGGACGCGCGGTTGAAACCTTGCGCAGCCCCCGGGCCGCGAGAGGCACGGGCGCGGGGCGGGGGAAACGCCAGGTGACGTCAGACCAGGGCCAGCGGGCCACGGGACCGGGCCCGAGCGAAGCAGATCGGTTGTCAGCCTCCAGGGAGCAATCGGCACCCCCACCACCACCACCACCAGGAAGAGGGGCAGGGAGGTCGTCAGCGTCGTCGTCGGGCGCCCCGCCGCCCGCCACACCGCCGCCCTGCAGGGGGGGGGGCCAAGCTCTCGGCGAAGGGACCGCATCTCCGAAGGCCCACCCGCCGCAACGCCCGGCCCTGCACAGAGGCCAGCCAGGTGCCCGCATGATGGTGATGCCGAGGCGGCACGCCATCACCTGCAACTCAGCCCGCCGCCGGACCGAGCCCCCAGCCGCCTTAGCGATCCACCCCGACTTCGAAGTGACGCAGGGCTGGACCCCGCACAAAGTCGGCGCGACCCGCACCTTCTCTCCGAGCTCGAGCCGACGTCCGGCAAAACGCGGGCACCATGCCCAGAAGTGCCGAGCAGAGGCCCGCGCGTGCCCGCACCCGCAAGGGCAGACGCACGGGCAGCCCGGCGCAGCTGGGCCGCGCCTGCGGGTGGGCGTGCCCACCGCCCCGCCACGCCAGACCGAGAGCAGGGTGGCCTCGAATCGTCCCCAAGATCGCCGGAACTGGGCCCAGGGCGTCGCGCCCTGGGCCACGTCGACATCCCCGATGCCGCCCTCGTCGTGGCGCGCCGGCCCGGGAGCAGCCCCAGGGCGAAGGAGCACCGCCCAGGCGCACTCCCGGAGAACGTGTTGACCGCGATCGGACGAGGCGTCGAAAGCCCCCCAGGCGGGCCGGGGGCGGCCCCCGGGAGTCCTCGAGCTTCGCGGCTGTCGTCGGCAGCAGCGTCAGCGACCGCCGCCGCCGCTCCCAGGGTCGAGCCCCGGAGCTGGCAGCAGCCACGCCCCTTCAGGGAGCGGCCCAGCCGAGGCCGGGCGCAACCCGAAGGCCCGGGATTGCTCCGAGAGCGCCGCCGACAGCAGCCGCGACGCGGGAACCCCCCGAGCAGCCTTCATAACGGCGCAGGCATTGTTTCGTCCCTCTCCTCCTCCTCCCCCCATCCCGCCGCTGGCGTGGCGCCCCCGCCAGTGGGCCCCCTCTGCGCTCACGCAGCCAGTGCCCCTGTGCAACAGCTCCTCCTGATCCTCCTCCCCCTGCCCCCCTCCCTCCTCCCCTTCGTCTCCAATCGTGCCCCGAGTGTGGGTATATCTTCCTTACCTGCCACGTGTACTTGGCGCAGCCCCGAAAACTAGGGGAGGGCGGGAGGAGGGAAGGGACAAGGTGAAGGGAGAAGGATGGAGCACGCGAGCCAGTCATGCATGAGTCGCGAGGAGATCTTTAACGATGACGCGATTCACTCGTAAATCTTGATGAAGTCTAGAGCGAGAGCGTGATTCCTGAGCGTCGAGGGCGCGGCGTGTCAATGCATTGCGGGGAAGTCCCACGCGAGAGCGCGACTCTTGCATAATGTGTAAGGAAGTCCAGCGCGAGAGCACGTTTTTTGAATAAATTGCGAGGAAGGTATCAGGCGGGAGCCGCTGTTGTTGTGAACCTGGGGCCAACAACACCTTCTGAGTCGCAAGATTTCTTTTTGTCAAAAAACAGAGCGCAAGCCTTTGGAGGGCCACTTCAGTTGAAAAACACAATGAGCGCCAGAGGGGGCATCAACATCAGTTTTCCTCTAGACATGTAAAATCATCGTCATCATCACCATCGTCGTCATCAATGCCCGTCATCATGTATGGAAGTTCTATTAAGCTCCGGAGCCTGCGCGGGCACAGACGGTCAACCGCGTAAGGTTCGGTCCCGCGCGAGCCGTGCCGAACAACGCAAACTGAAACACTGTACGCGGTGGGAAAAGCACAAGCTCCTCGGTGACCCTGCCCCACGGCAACGGCCCGCGGACAGTTCCAGTCTCCAGTCTTCCAGTCTTTCGGTACCATGGCAGTGCACATAGCGTACACCAGGCAGATGCCCAATCGTCACCGATGGCCACCTCCCGATCATTTCGTTCATCGCCGTCCCGAGCCTCAGCGCTCGGGCTAGGCATTGAAGAAATCCTTCAGTACCGAGCCTGCCCTAGAATGTTTCATGATCAAGTTGGCATGGTCAAGCGGATAAAGTTTGCGAGGCTTGTGGCAGTGTTAGCAGTGTCTGTTGGCGCGTTGCTCCCGCCACTCAACCGAGGCGGCGTGCGTACAGAAGCCGAAGCAGTTATAGCATGTCTGCTCTTGGCTGCGGCTGGGTTATGTCGAATTCGGCGTGCTCACAGTGCTGCTCGCCGCCCACGGCGGTTTCGGCAACAGTTGTGCGTGCTCCCGCCCGACTGCCAGGATGGCATAGTCCCGCGTCCGTCAGTGGCATGGACGCGGATCACGCAGTAGATACTGACCGCCGACAGTTCGGAGGCCGCAGTCAATTTCGTTGGTTCCCACGCGGGGGGTGCCACGTCGGCAAGGGCAACCTCGTGCGTTCCTCTGGCGCGCGGCACCGCTTAGCAGCTCGAGCATTGGAGCACTTGACTGGCTGCTGATGCCGCAGTCCAGGGACGGCCGTTTCGCCAGGCACGGTGCCCTCGGGGAAAGCATCGGCATGTTCTTCAGTGCCCCAATCGTCACAGCGGAGTCGGAAGTTCGAGCAGTCGCCGCGGGGGCGACCATTATCAAATCCATGAATCATGTCTACAACCGCGCAGATGAAGATCAGCGGCGAACTGAGAAGCGAGCTGGCCAAGCTTCACGACCTGAACGCGCTAAACACCACAAGTGTCTTTTTATCGCGACACCGCGCACAGCAGCTACATTCTTCGAAGGTATCTCAAGCGTTTCATTGAAATCTCTCTCAACGCTTCATCCCGAAACCGCTTTCGCCCACCACCTCAAGGAAAGGCCCCGCGCAGTTTAGTATCGGGGGCTCCAGAAGACCTACGTTGTGTTGTTTGGGTATCATTGGTCCGCCGAGGTCATTTCCTCCTGGCCACCTCGATACCTTGTTCGCACTGTGCAAGCTCGCGACCGTCGCCCGATGCGCCCCCTTCATGGTCGCGCGACGACGCCAGCACCGCCCATTACCACGTCGCGGGCAACCTCAAGTCAGCAGTGCTCAGGGCCGCGCCAAAAGCAGCAGCTCATCGCTTTCTTGCGAGGGTGTTGCGCAGGCTTCGTCCCCCACCTACCATAGCTCGTTCTTATGCCCCCCCTCGACAGTGCAAGGCACGCGGTCTTATGGCACGGCGTCTGTCTGGGATGCGCTGCAGTCGGCGCGAGTATACTCAACCCGCAGATGGTTACGGCAGCGTTTGTCAGCGGTCCATGGCCGTTCCGCATCTTGGTTCAATAAGCTCCAAACGTTTTCGTCGTTTCGACTTCCGCGGATTTGAAGATGCACCGCCTGAAGTTCTCGGACGGCGCGCAGAGATGGAGTCACTGCGAGCGCACGGTGGCTCTTGGAAAATAAAAGCTTGGCAAGCTCCGAAGTCCATTCGAGCAGCAGCGCTTTCTGGATGGTCCGACTGAGTTCATCGGCATCGATTTAGTCCACGCGTGCCCGTCGCGCATTAAAACCGCATCTTGTTGGCAAGCGCGCGACGTTCTCGCCCCTGGAATGCCCCCCATGCACGGCGAGTTTAGAGGCGGAGCTTTCGAGGAAGATGGAGCAGTGGATCAGCCAGTATGACGTTTCTGCAGGATGATCCCGACGCATCATAGGTCTGGTCCATGGATTCACAGCAGGCGCGCGATTTGGGCGCGCGCAGTCGCCGCGGGCCCAGATTGGAAAGCCAGATCTGATTACTCCGCGTCGCAGGTGCTGCCCCTCGCGTTCGATCGAGCGCGCGCTGTCTCGCGCGCCTGGCTTTGCGGCAACCCGCGAGGGGGGGCGGGGCCGCTCGCGCCGCTGGTTTTTCCTTTTCGCCAAGTCAAAGTGCCATACCGACGAGAGCGAGACAAAGCATTAGAAAGTGGGCCATTCACGTGTTCGGGGGCTCTCGAATACGCCATGGACGCCGTTTCCTGCTGCTGGAAGGACAGCAGCCCGAGGTTTGCGCGCAGATGTCGAGGCGCCAACATGCACGCGCGAGGTGCTTGATGCGAAAGACGCCGCGTCGCTGCTAGGCCACGCAGCTGGTTCTCTTTATCTATGGGGCGCATCGCTCTAGCTCCACAGGCCGCCGCGGTCGTAAACATAGTCACGTTCGGCCCCCCGGCGTCGACTGGCGGCGCGATGTCCTGAGCCGCGGCGCCCGTCGTTCTCGGCGACGGGGAGGCGCCATTCTTCGGAGATGCAATCGCGGTCCCAGGTTTCCCCGCTAGTCTCTCCCAGGGGCAGTTTCTTCGGGCAGTTTTCTGGCTTCGATGCGTCGATGACATCATTGGTGTTTCGAATGCATATCGCGTTGGCCGCGTCAAATTCCTGCGCGCGTCGATTTGCTCCGAGCCCAAATCGTTCGCGCTCGAGAGCTGTTGCCGGTGATCCGACGAGCCCGCGCACGTGAGTGGATCGGCGTAAGGTTGCACGTACTCGCCCAGAAAATATGCCGGATGATGAAGAGCCCGAATCGTGCTTGGATTTCTGGCCGTGGACCCACGCAAAAGAAGGACTTGTTCCCGTGGCTTGATCAGTCGCCCACGCCTTTCGCCAGATTTCGAGGTCAGTTGTTGGGGAGGTTATCTAGGTATTTCTCATTTGGAGTTTGCTCGTGGAGTGCAGCTTGTCGTGGCTATGGAGCCCATCTTGGAAATGCCAAGGCTGCAATATCCTATCCCAAATATTCCCTCGTTGGTCCGTGGTAAGCCCCCTAATCCTTCAGTTGCTCAGGCTCGGAGGTCCGCGAGGTCATTACATTACAGCCAAAAGCAGCTAGAGATGGGCAGATCTCATGGCGTGCGTGGTCAGCAGCAATCTCGCGCGCAAGGTGATTGGCCGCCAGCGTGGCAGCCCAGGCAGAGCGACCGCGATCTAGATCGCGATCGCGACAGTACCAAGACGAGGAACAGCGAGGATCGTTCGGGCTGCTCGAGCAGTTCAGATACGGAGGACCCGGTCACTATTGCGGAGCGCGACAAGAATATCGTGGAGTCCGAGGAGGAGGCTGCCCGCACCCAGGAGCATGAGTGACAGGACAAGATCATTGCAGATGCGATCGCCCCGCAGCTGTCCTCCGCAGCTGTCCTCCAGACTCGCCGCCAACGCGGTCCAGGCTGGCGCCCCAGCGGCCGCGGGGAGTGCTGCTATCGCGCCAGCAGCGGCGGCCCCGCTGGCCTCGCCGCGTCCTCTCCCGCCATCGCCGCCGTCGGTTGTCATGCTGCCCACTATGTTCACGGCACCCCAGCGTGCCTACATTGTCGCGGAGTATGGCCACGTGTTCACGCTGGAGAGTGGTACGATGGAGGAGCTCATAGAGAACATCAACGAGAACTGGTCGAACGTTATGGTCCTCAAGGGCGTGGACTGCATCATCAAGGCAGTCGACCAAGGCGTGGCCTCCCCGAGGCCCAAGCAGAAGCGGATCGACACGCTCGTCGAGGTCGTCAAGAACATGGCCTGGGTCGTTTTTGCCCCGTTCGTGCACGCTCTCCTCACTGTCATTATCATAGTGCGAGCGCTCTACGTTTTTGTTCTTGGCACTGCGTTATATCTCGGTTATCGCTGAGGGCGTCGGGTTGCAAAGTTGGAGAGGTACACCAAGGCACGCGAATTTGTTATGGAAAATGTTGGTTCCATGTTGGTCTCTTACTTCACTGGAGGGAACGTGCCCATACGAGCCGTGGGCACGGCAGCAGTCAACAGCTTTGGAGCATCCTGGATCGAAGCATCTGAAAGCCGTGTTTTGCAGGCCATCTGATTTGGGTCATGCGCTGCGCTGACACTCGGGCGCGTGTGAACTGAGACTCTTCTCTCCTGTTGAGTGTTCCCCTCGGTTTTTCGCAGCTCCCCGGAGGGACATCGTCTCTGTAGTTTCCTTTGGGTTCAGTAGCTTCCGCGGGAAAACACGTTCAACCCGCAAGGTTCAGTTTCGCGTGAGCCATGCCAAGCTCTGCAAACTGAAACACTGTACGCAGTGGAAAAAGCAACCAAGAATCATCATCATCATCATCATCATCATCATCAGCAGCAGCAGCAGCAGCATCATCATCATCATCATCATCACCACCATCATCATCATCATCATCGTCATCATCATCATCACCATCATCATCATCACCATCACCATCATCACCATCATCAACAACATCATCACCACCAACAACAACATCAACATCATCATTATCACCACCATCATCATCACCATCATCGCCATCATCGTCATCATCCCCTCCCTCCTTGACCAAAGAGCGCTCCCAGCACTGCCGCCGGCTCTGGGAAAGCGGCGCCCGCGGACAGCGCGGCGCAGCCACGAAGCCCCCCGAGGGGGGCCGGCGCCTCCGCGGTTGCCGCCGCGGCCGCAGAGGTTCCAGGCGCGCGCGGCGGGGGGACGTGCGGTTGCCGTATCGTCGAAGTCGCCATCACCCCTGCCCTCCACTCCCACCATGGTTCCTTGCCCCTCCTCTTTCTCCTCCGCCTCCTCCTCCTCCTCCTCCTCCTCCTGCTCCTCCTCCCCCTGCTCCTCCTCCTCCACCTCCTCCTTCCCCTCATCAGCATCATCATCATCAGCATCATTGTTCTTACCATCCAATTCACCATTATCGGCAACATCCTCATCATCATGACCAGCGTCATCACCACCATCATCATCACAATCACCATGATCACCATCAGTAGCATCATCACCAGCATCAGCAAGAGTATTAGTATGATCATCATCACCATCAACATCATTACCACCATCATCGTCATCATTGTCATCATCATCTCATCATCACCATATTACTATGCATAATCATTGTCGTCATCGGCAACATCATCATCATAATCATCATCATCATCATCATCATCATCATCATCATCATCACCGTCATCATAAACATCATCAGCATCACCATCAGCATCATCATCATCGTCATCAGATTCAGCATGAGCAGCATCATCATCTCATTCCCTCCCGCCCTCCTCCTCCTCCTCTTCCTCCCCCTCCTCCTCCTCCTCCTCCTCCTCCTCCTCCTCCTCTTCCTGCTCCTCCCCCCCTCCTCCTCCTCCTCCTCCTCCTCCTTGCTCTTCCTCCTCTTTCTCCTCCGCCTCCTCCTCCTCTCCTTCTCCTCCTCTTCTTCCTCCTCCTCCTCCATGACGCTTAGGAGCAAGAAGGATGAGGAATTCGCGTGATGGACGTGGCTGCGTGCGTGGACGGGTAGAGAGGGGGAGAGCGAACACACAGTGGACCCGGGCATGGTTGGTCACACACGGGCCCGGGTGGCGAGCTGACGATCAAGTGTTCCAGGGAGTGAGCTGGAACGTCGATGGGTTGGCCTTACTTGAGTGGAACCAGTTGTGTCGCGCTATTTTGGGCGAGGTCCACTGGCATGTTCTGTTACTCCAGGAATTCGCAGGTTTCACCGGCACTCTCAAGAGGTCATTTGGTTTTCTTAGCAGGTTCCAGGAACGGCCAGCGGAGATTGGCCTTCATCGTTCACGCGACGGCTATCCAGTAGATCGTCCCGAATTCGTTTAAGCATGAGGGGAAGGCGATTGCAGTCGATGTCAAGCTCCCCAAGGTGCACATAAGATACAGATCAGTTGATATGTATCCTCATTGCGACCTTGCGCCATACAAGGCGAGCATATCTGACATTGAGAAGCTCTGTGTAGGAGTAGCTGAGGGTGGACACTTCTTCATTGGTGCGGATGTGCAGGACAGGTTAGGGCTACGTGAACATGATAAACGATCGTTTGCGGAGTTCATAGGACCGTTCGGAGAGCATCCAGCCGGACGCAAAGGTATGGTATTTTTGAATATCGTTTTAGAGCACGACTTGGTTGCATTGAACACGTTTAGCCAGAATGAGCGCGATGGGATTGCCACTTGTCAGTATAGCTTGAAGGAAACCCCAAAGCAGATTGATGCTGTGTTGTTTTCGCAGGTTTTGAAAAGCAGGTGTACGTGCCGACCGACAGAGATGGATACAACTATCTCGGATCATCGTGTTCTTTTCTGGGGCATCGGCGGAGCCGTCGATTCGTAGATGGAACGTAAAACCATTCCCTCCTGTTTCTCGTCCGTTTCCTCGTCCTCCTTCTTTTCTTAACATGGACGCAAAATCTATACTACGTTCATTTCTCCCCGGATCCAGCCCGAGTGTGGCAGGATCTCCTCTGCAAATTGATATTGTAACGCTTGGGTGTTCAAAAGGTTGTCTTGCATATATTTTTTTTCTGTCAGAACGTCTCCAGTGTTTCAGAATGGCGTTCCCGCTGCAGCGCGGCCTTCATTTTAGGATCGGCGCCTTGCTCCCGTCGTTCAAAATGGCATCTCGCCCCAGCGCGGGCCTCAGTTGTGGATTCGAGTCCTTCATCGTCGCTGCCGCCCCGCTCCGTTCCCCTCCTCCGCCTTCTGCTGGTCCTCCTGCTCCTTGCGTTCCTCTTGCTGCCGCTGCTGTTCCTTCTCGTCCTCCTCCGTGTTCATCCTCATCTTCTCTTTCCTGCTCATCCGCCACCTCTTCCTCCAATGTACACAGCTGCCCTTGCCTGATTGCGCACTGCGCGGTGGGGTTTCGGATCCGCTGTTACACCCGTCGGCGGGCAGAGAAAACCTCCTGCTTGGCGCCCGCCTTTTTCGGAACCCGCTCTTCCACGCTTGCTGTGCACTTGTGCCCCGCCGGAGCTGGCACGTGGGCTGAAACTGGACCTGAACCTCAGCGCAATGGGAAGGGATGGGTTATATGGACAGGATGGCAGGTATGGCGCGAGCGCACCTAGCTTGCCCTCGCCCCTCCACAGTCGGCCCTCGTGCGCCCACCCTCGTTCACCCTCCTTCCTCCTCTCTCCTTCATCCTTCCGCCTCATCCTCATATACTGCTTGTTTGTTTGTCCCCCCCCACTCCGGCCAGGCCCAGAGAGGGTGCCTGAAAGACCGCCGTCGAAGAGCTTGCAGGAGAAGGCCCCGAGCCCCAGGGCGCCGTCAGGGAGACCAGAGCGCTGGGCCAAAGACAGGGACAGGGCCAGGGGGGGGACAGAGATAGGCAGGGATTGGAGGGGGGGGGGGGTGGCGAGGTGGGGGGGGGCGGAGCCGAAGGAGGGGGAGGGGAGGGATACATACATACATACATACATACATACATATATATATATATATATATATATAAACTCAAAACAAGTGTGTATACATATATATAGAGAGATGTATCAGGAGCAATGTTGGCTCAAGATGGAAACCTTTGCCCTGAGGTTTCTAGGTTGACTGCTGCCAAAAGGCAGGCCCAAGGCTCCCAGCAACGAGCAACCCACGCAGACAAACACACACACACACACAAGACGCACACACACACACACATACACACACACACACACACAACACCCGCACGCACGCACGCACGCACGCACGCACGCACACACACACACACACACACACACACACACTTACACACACACACACACACACACACACACACACGGACATACACACACACACACACACACACACACACACACACGCGCACACACACACACACACATACACACACACACACGCAGAACACTCAGAACGCACATGGCACGCGCACAATTCACACATAGCACACGCACAACACATACAAATTCGCACACAGCACACATAACCCACACCTTACCCACGCCATACACGTCTACACACGCGCACACACACATCCTGCACATGCGTTGCATGAGCCTTGGCACGCACATGCTATCTGAATATAGCTGTACGCACATACATATGCCTATGTATATGTACAAAGAGAGAAAGGGAAAAGAGGAAGGTAGAGACACTGACGTAGGAGGGGAGGGCAGGGGTACGAAGGGTAGGAAGGAGCGAAGGGGGAAATAAGCATGATTATGGGATTGAGATTAGGCCACCAATGCTACCCCGTGAAGGGACCCCAGACAGCAGATGCAAGGTCCGCAATATCTTTCTCTCTCTCTCTCTCTCTCTCGCTCTCTCTGCCTCTCACTCTCCCTCCCGTTCCCTCTCTCTCTATCCCTCTCCCTCTCCCCCTCGTTTTCTCGATATACACATAAATATAATATGTATATGTATAGGTTGCTCGGTTTCTCTGCCTCTCTCTCTCTCTCGCGCGCTCATTCTCCCTTCTCGGAAAGGCGCCGCCCCGTCAAGTTGCCATTCTTGCCATGCGGTTGCAAACGAGGGAAGATGAGGAGGAGGAGGAGGAGCAGCAGCAGGAAGACCAGAGTAAACTCAGGATGCGTCATCTTCCCGTTCCAAGCCCCGCCCCCCGCCCCCCCCCCCTCATAAGTCCTTACATGTATTCCTTTCCATTGCGGGAGGCGCCCCCCTTGACAGACGAACCCCCCGTAGAGATAGAATTCTGGCGGGGTCTGTGCGGAAAAGATCCACACTCCATCTATCCAGCTGCATGGAAGAGAGCTGGATAACTCCGTTTTGATAAGGGTTTGCTACCAACGCGTGCAAGCGCTGCACTGCTTCAGAGTTCTCGACACCAAAATCTGGGAGGTGTCCAGCGAGCGCAATATGTGAAAGAAAGGTGCTGCGCTCCGCCCTTCTGATCTTGCACCCGTTTGAACGTCGGGCCGAAACATTCTGGCAAGTCTCAAGCGGGAACCCCGCTTTGGAAACGAGCCGCCCTCCATCCGTTCAGATGTTGCAAGTTTTTAAGACGAGTGCTTGCGGCGTTGATGCGAGAGCCCCATTTTGAAAACCAACCGCCCTCCATCCGTGCATCTGCTGTAAGATGTTAAGACGATTGCGCCTGGCGTCAAGACGAAGGCCCCATCGTGAAAATCACCGCTCAAACCACCCGCCTTCAGTCCGCGCAACTGCTAGAAGTATTTAACATGATTGTGCGCGGCGCCAAGACGATAACCCCAGTTTGAAAACGACCTCGGTTTCATCCGCGTAGCTGTCGGAAGTGTCAAGCGTCTGCTGTATGAATTGCGAGGAAGCCACATGCGAAACGCCCAGCCCGCCCCAACGACACGTCTGATGGTGCGACAGTGAGGAGTGTTATACAGGTGTGTGTATATATATATGTACACACATCTATACACATGCCGTCGGCCAGTTCCGCCGGCCTCGCTTGATGCAGCAGATGTTTGCAAGAACGGTGGCACCGATGTGTATATATATATATATATATATATATACACATACACACATAAGATATACGTATACTCGAAAGCTGGGCGAGGGCTGCTAAAACCGTGGCTGCTAAAACGGCCCTCCCGGAAGGAAAAAACAATTTCTGGAATGAGGCGCGGCACGCGAAACAATCAACGGGCTTCTTCCCAGAAGGACGAAGACAACTTCCCGGAGGTCGATCTTAGCAGCCACGGATTTAGCAGCCTTTGCCCGGTTTCCGATATACACGCATACATTCATACAACGGGCGATTGGGCCTGGGGGAGCCCGGGGGGCCCGGCCCGCTCCTGGGGGCCTCAGGACCAATTGCTCCCAACCAGATCTCGAGGGTTCCTAGACGACTCGCGCGGCGGCTGCAACGGCCGATGAGGCCTCCAAGACGCCCCGAGACTTCTCCAAGAGGATCTCCAAGAAAGCTCCAAGTGGCCCAGATCGTCCCATTCTTGAAGCAAAACGTACATGTTTCGCATAGTGAGTCACTCGGCCCCAACACCGTACAAGATGACCACAAAGGCCTCCAGCATCGCCCCAAGACAGCACGAAAGGCCCCCCAAGAGAGCCCCAAGACGTCCCGAAAGAGCCCGAAAACATCCCAAGAAGCACAGGAGACGGTCCAAGAGGGCCCCAAGAGAGTTCCAAAAGAGACTAAAGATAAGGAGTCCTGCCCACAGAGCGATCAGACTGCCGCCAAGGCGATAAAAGAGAGCCCCAAATTGCTCCCAACACGATCTCGAGGGTTCCCCGACGACTTGCGCGGCGGCTCCAACGGCCGAAGAGGCCTCCGACCTGCAACAAGAGCGCTCCCAGAGGATCTCCAAGAGGGCCCCGAGGGTCCCAAATTGCCATTCCTTTTTGCAAAACGCTCATGTTTCGCATAGTGCCTCTCTCGGCCTAATACCGTTCAAAATGGCCACAGAGGCCTTCAACATCGCCCCAAGACGGCACATCATATTCCAAAGAGAGCACCCAGACGTCCCAGGAGCAGCGGATACGGCTTATGAGGACCCCAAGAAGGCCCAAGAGAAGGAGTCTTGCCCACAGAGCGATCAGACCGCCGTCAGGGCGACTAAAGACAGTCCTGAATCGTTCCCCATACGGTCTCCACGGTTTTCAGACGGCACGCGAGGTGGTTCCAACGGCTGAAGAGGCCTCCGAGACGCCCCAAGAGCGCTCGAAAGGTACCTCCACGAAGGCCCCGAGGAGCCACGAGGACTTGTCAAAGAGGGACCCAAAGGCTCACCGTGGTCAGGCGCTGACCCTCCCACCGACGTTCTCGCATTCTCACACGCAACTGAAACATCAACCACTTCGTGCTTAACTACCCAAATAAAGTTGCACAGTAATCTCACATGCCACGAACGTGCACTCGGCTGAAACACCAACCACCACGTGCCGTTTCTCGCATCACCAGATGTTGCCATTGCGCTCGTTCTCGCAGGAGCTGATCCCAGCGATTTTGCCGATGACCCCCTGCTTCGATCCACTCGCAATGCCAGTTGCTGCCACTGCACGCCTTTTCACAGAAGATCACCAAAGCTGGCCCGAGCAAGTTGGTTGATGACCCATTAGCTGCTCTTGCCGAAGCTGAGCCAAACGGGAGAAGCCGCCTTTATATACTCCCACCTCTTCCCGCGCCTCCGCCGTCCGCCTAACTGAGCAGAGCCCAGCGTGGCGACGACCCACCTTGCTTCTCGCAGCGCCTGCCTCGGCTGCCACTGCTCGTAGCAGATCACATGCCACTTGTGCGGTCTCGCAAAAGTTGCCCCCAGCGTTGTAGCTGCTGATGATGCGTTGCTCCTGCTGTCGCCACAGCACTCCTTCTCGCACGAGCTGCCCCCAGCTTTGTAGCTGATCACATGCCGGTCCTGCACCCTCACTGCTTTATCTCAGGAACTGCCCCCAGCATTGTAGCTGATAACATGCTGATCCTAAATTGGTGCGGTGCGCTGGCCAGTGTAGCCACTGCAAACACCTTCTTGCACGCGACCCCATTCAGCGTCGTAGCTGATGACGTGCTGATGCTCTGTTGCTGCCTTCCCGCACGCGCTGACCCCGGCGTGGCACTCGCTGCCATTGCCTGCCTGTCGCACGCGCTCCCCAGCATTGTAACTGCTCGCGCCAGCATCTATTCGCAGTGCCAGCCTCCACTGCCACTGCCTGCCTCGACGCATGCGCTGATTTCAACGTTATCGTTGAAGGCGACTGCAAACTTCTCGCATACCAGCCTCGGCTGCCACTGCGTGCCTGTCGCACGCGCTGATCCCAGCCTTGTAGCCGGGAGTGCTTATCACATTCTCGGAAGGCCACCATCCACTGCGTGCACCTATCGTGTCGCACGCGCTGACGCGCCGCTGCAGCTGGGGGCGCCAGCAACCTTATCGCAATGCCAGCCCCTACTGCCGCTGCCTGCCTCGTCGCACACGCTGACCCCAATGTTGCAGCTAAGAGCGCCTGCCTTCTTCTCGCAGTGCCAGCCTCCATTGCCACTGCCTCTCTTAGAGCAGGACGCGCTGCCACTCCCTGCGCCTTGCTTCTTCCGCCGCGGCGGCCGCCGCTGCCTGCCTCGACGCGCGAGCGGATCCCAGCAGGGGCGCGGATGATGTACGGCTCGGGGCCCTGAAGAAGGAACCCTTCTCGTTGGGGAGGGGCTCCGCGTTCCTTATGTGCTTCGCAGCTTGCCTGAGGTGTTCCTTATGTTTTCGATCGGAAATCGAAGTTTAACTCATGGATAAAAGGGGCCTCGTTCCTTAGTTTGGGTTCCTTAGGTCAAGGCCCCGACTGTACGGCTCGGGCGCCAGCTCGCTTTGGCAGATCGTGCTGCCGTTGCTGTCCTCCTTCACGGCTGCCTGCGCCCTTCGCTTGGCGTGGCCCATCCCCAGTCCCCAATGGTGTCTACGTCCGCATTGTAACGCCAGACGTCCGGCCCAAGTGTCGTGCATGTTTGGAGACGGCATGGCCATTTTCCTAAGTTTGCCGTGTCGACCAGGGGCCCCCCCTTTGCCCCGAGAGGAATGGCTGGGGAGTTCGGAGAACGAGGAGGAGGCGGAGAGGAGGACGACGAGATAGGGGGCAGGTAGCAGGGAGGGCAGAGGACGAGGAAGGGTTGTAGAGGATAAGGCAGAGGTTGGAGGAGGAGAAGGAGGAGGAGAAGGAAAAGGAGCTAGTTGACAACCCCGCATGCTGCCATCCTGCGCAGTTCCGCTTGTCGATCCCTGCCTCCCGCTGCATTCCGCTTGCGCGCTCACGGGTGGTCGTAGCGTCGCCTCCCCATAATCATTACCGCATTTTAGCGTAGGTTGGCGCATGTGCAGTAGAGAACAGACTTGCTTCCATGGTGTAAGCATGTATGCATGTGCGTTTGACTGGTCATTGATGATCAGGTCATACCGCGCGGAGTCTATGTGGCAACCGCTTTCGACTCGAACACCTGTGCAGAACTAGTGCGCAGATCGCATCCTCTGTCTCCGTCTCCTTCCGCCCATCCTCCAAACAGCAGCATCATCATCAGCAGCATCATCACCAGCATCAGCATAAGCATCATCAACAACATCATCATCAGCATTACCATCATCATCGACATCGTCATCGTCAGCGTCATCATCAGCATCCTCATCATCACCATCATCATCACCAGAATCACCATTCACATAACTGTTACCATTACCGCCACCCTGTTCCCCCTTTACGTGTTGAGTCTGCTAATGTGTTCGTGCGGGTCAACCAGCGGCGTGACCATGGCCGCACGCGCCGATTTGTCTGACCAGGCCCAGCCATGGGACCACAGGTGAGATCTCATCCGGGAGGAGGAGTCGGGGGGAAGAGGAGGAGGAGGCACTGGAAGAGGAGTAGGAGGTGCATCATCGTATAGATGCGAGCCAACAAGTCGTCGCGTGGCATTCGCACCTGTTGCGAAGTCGGTGAAGATCTCGCGGGCGAAGGGAAAGCCGTAGAGATATGAGGAGGAGCCCTAGGAAAACACAGCAGGACGAAAAGAAGCCGAAGATAGAGGATGGGCAGGAGCAGGAATGCAGCAGGACGACGATGAACAACAGCAGGGGCAGCAGCATCAGGAGGGTTGGTAATGCAGGCCCCTCGCAGGCAGATGGTCTTCCTGCTGGCAGTGCCCCTGGCCTTGCCGGAGGCAAAGCTCGAGATCTTGCTTCAGGCTCGAAGACAGGCCGTGCAATGTATCGTGTCTCTCTTGCTCTCTCGCTGTCTCTGTCTCTCTCTCTCTCTCTATCGCTCGCTCTCTCGCTCCTCTCCCTTCATATCTCTATCGCTCTCGTTGTTTGCTCTCTCTCTCTCTCTCCACCTGTCCCGCCACCACCCACGGCCCACCTGGCGACCGTGACTGAGGCCCTGAGCAGGCTCGCTCCACGGCTGGGCCGTTTCACCTCAGATTCTCGATGCGCCCCTGTGCGACGCCTGGCAAGTGCTCCGCGGTGCCGCGCTCGCCCACGCTGGGGTTGTCCTGCGTGCGGCACCGCCAGCCGCCGACGGGGGGGGTTTTCCGAGCGGCAGCCCGTCCCTTGCGGGCCGCAGACGTGAGGCGCGTCGCCCCTGTCACCGTGGGTTCGAGCTTTGCCCCCATCAGTCGTCTCGCTCTCACCTACGCTCCTACGCTCCCCTCTGGCTGCCGCTTCGCATGCTCCTGCCTGTCCTCCCCCGCCTACCCCTCCCGTCCTCTTCCCTCCCCCCATCGCCCTCCTCCTCTCCGCCGCCGCCTCCTTTCGCTCCCCTGACTCGTAGGACGCGGGTTAGCCCAAGCGTGTGCTCACCTCGTTCGGCTCCGCCGATGGCGCGCAGCCTGCGCCGGCCCTCGCTGCGCCGCCCGCGTCTCATTGACGGGCCTCGCTGGACAAGCACACGGTCGCGCGAACACGCGCTCTGGGGATCATGGAGCTTCGCCCCTCCTCACCACTCCGCCCGTGCGGTGGGGGCGCTGTGGAGGAGTTTGCTCAGGAGGCCGCAGGCTGCAGGCCCTGGAGGATCCCTCGTCGGAGGAGGGCGGCGGTGGCGCCCGTGGCCGATGCACGATTGGAACTCCGCCGGCTCCCAGACCCCGAGTTCCTTATCTGAGGGTTCCTTGTCTTGGCATCGCTCGGACGTGTGCATTTTTACTCGGCGAGAACCATCGAGGACCATCCTGGACCATCGAGCAAACAAAAACACGCACGGCACCGAAAAATGCGCGGGGCATGGACGTCCGAGCGACGGCAAGCTGTCCAACGCCCCCACCCGTCGCCTCGGCGCCCGGGGGGGGGGGGGAGGGGGGCTCGTCTCGGGGACCCCTTCCCCCCCCCTGCCTACGCCGGGCCCGCGCGCGGCCCCCCCCCCCCGAGCAGAGGCGGGGCGGGTATGGGCGCCTGCCCCCCGCCGCCCCGGGGACGCGCGCCCCTGGTCGGTGTGCCTTTTTGGTGCTGCTTCTTGTCTTGGCATCGCTCGGACGTGTGCATCGGTCCTTCGGCGAGGACCCTCGAGGAGCATCCGTGGATCATTTGGCGAAGAAGCCACGCACGAAACCGCAAAAAGCACAGGGTATGGACGTCCGAGCGATGGCCAGTTGTCTCTCTCGTCCCAGAGGGAGCTCCGCCGCAGCCGGGACTCACAGCTGCGTCGCTCACAGCTGCTCATGGTTGGGTCGTTCGCCAGGCGGATGTGTTTCTCTTTCTGGCTTTCTCTCTCTCTCTCTCTCTCTCACTCTCTCTCTCCCTCTCTCGTTCTCTATGTGTTTGTTTTTCTCTCTCGCTCTCGATATATGGATTTCTCTCTCTTGCTCTCTCTCTCTCTCTCTCTCTGTCTCTCTCTCTCTCTCTCTCTCTCTCCCTCTGCATCTCTCTCTCTGTCTCTCTTTGTTCGTAATCACTCTCTCCTTCTCTCTCTCT